CAAATTTTTTGGTATTTTCTTTTATTTACTTTCTGTATCTCGTTTTGCATTCCACGTGGGTCCCAAGGGCCATTCGGGACATTTTTATGAGTTTGGGAGTTCTGGGAATGCATTTTAATTATCTTGAGCATGTTAAGATTTACGGGATCAGTTATTAATATTTTTGGAGTCAGGATCGACTTTATGGTGGGGAATCTTCTCGGGCTTTTCATTAATATTTAATATTGTATTTGGCATGTTATATATATATATATATATATATATATATATATATATCTATGGTAAGATATTTTGGGGGCAATGTTGTCTTTAGTGGGATTATAGGAGGGTATTCTGGGGAGTTTGGTGTGAGGAATGGGGACCACCACTTGACATGTGGCCAAAGGAGGACTATTCATGCAATTGAAGACTTGGCAAACCACCCCTATGCTTCTTCATTTTCAGCCATTCCCTCTCTTTCTCTCTAGCTTTCTTCTTTCTCTCTCTATATTTATATACACTATGCTTTAAGCTCATTTTTAGGAGCCTTAATGTGAGATTTGAGAGAAGATCAAGAGGCAAACTTGCTTTACTCTTCAAGGGCTACATTTTTACACCACTCCTGAGGCCATTTGGGGGATTGCAAATTTGACCTAGCTTAAGTGCTTGTTTGGTTGTCTCTATTGAGGTAGGGATGGTTAAGACCTCAAACTTTGTATTTCATTGAGTAATCTTCATTTGATTTTTCATTTAATCTATATTGAATGCAAGTTTGTGAATAGATTTATAGTTGAATGATGATGTGGTGAAAGCATGCTTGTATACGATTTAAATAGTGGCATGGTATGCTACTGAAATTGATGTTATTGCCTAGGTGTAAAAATGTTTAGTTACAAATGCTAGCATGGTTGTGACAAATGATTTTCAGTGATGAGCATTCTTATATTTGATTCTTGGTAAATGTCATGCTATGCTCGTGATGTTATAGAAACGAGGATGAAGTTAAGTAAATGCATTGTTAATATACATGGCATGACATAGTGGAAATGTTGAATGGGAATGTCAAATAAGTCAAAGTAGAAAGGGTGTGGAAAGGGTTGTGAAATGGATTTTATAAAAGAACTGAATTTCACGAGTCTGGTGCTAATTCGACCTAGAGAGAGCACTTTCCGGTATTTAGACGTGTAACATTGAATTAACTAAGCCCTAAATGGTCGTCGAATTTGTTGTCAGGGATAGTTAATCAATCTCGTCTTGGTAAAGTCGCTTAGCAATTTTCGGTGTGAGTCGTATCAGTCTAGGTTCGGAGTTGGGATGGCATTGCATTTCATGGCTTCATTCTTCCATCTAACTTCTGAAATTATATATGAAATGAATGCTATTATTGCAAAGTGTGTTGTTGTGAGGGTTTAAAACCCCTCTTGACTCAAGGGAGTCTAAAGTTAATGCTTTAAGCATCTTCTACCAAGCCTTAGTGCTCATCCCTTCTATAAATATTTTTTAGGTCACAACGAAGAAGTAATGGACAATACACTTCCACAAATGTAATCTTAGGCAGATGTGATACCCCTTGACTCCGAGACATGGGTTGATCAAGCCCAAGCCCAAACCCGAGGGAAATGTCAAACAATTAAAGTATTTAACAAGCATAGAATACAAAATGAATTAAGAATTAAGAATAAAGAATAAAGCTGAAAGAATACTAAATAATAAATCCTCATTGATTTAATCCAATAATAAACCTAATTAAACTAAATCATCTGATACCAGTAATTAATTAAAATTACAACTCGGGAATCCATTATGTGGACCCCTAACCCAAAATCCAACTGAAATAAATGAAATCCAACTAAAACATAAAGAAGAAGTCCTACGTAGAGTCGGAGTAGTGAATAGACCGTCTCTGCTCAGTACGAACAAGTCCTAAGCCTGGAAATGACGAACACCTGAAAAATAATGGTGGGTTAGGCCACAAACAAGTTCTAATCTACTACATCCCAAACTGAGACTCATAACTCATATACATCCTAATTAATTCAATAATAACTAATAGTCTGGAAATATATATATACACACTAAGAGAACCTCACTAGACTATAATGTTGCCTCAACCTGAATAATAGGCAACATGCAAAATGCACATATAGTGGGCATGAGTACCTAGACCTACCAGGGCACACAACTACACTATATCTAGCTACACATCCCTGGCAATATACTTGTCCTAATCACTGATCCTGACACTCAAACTCATATCATGGTATATAACTGTACATATATAATGTCCATCCAATCCAAATAAAATAAACTATCCAAATATTATTTTAATAATATGTCATCCAACTGTTTCGTTGACCTGACACAAATAAGTAGGACTTAACTCTATGGTTAATCCAATCCCTTATAAACACAAATAGGTTGGACTTAACTATTCCGTTAATCCATTCCTAATGTGCCCCCATCCCATAATGGTGCACTAATCCATAATATAACTAATCAAAGGTTTCCATATACTTATAAAGATGCAAACGATATTTAAATCTAATTATCCAAGTAAACATGATATCAATCACATATACATCCTTTGCATTTAATTGAACAAAATAACAATTCTAAATAGCTTGCATTTAATTTATATCATAAAAAATTAACATTCATCTCAATTGAATTGTACAACTCTATAACCTGATTAAATTCATTTAAATCCAAATAACTGGTTAAAATAATTTAATCCAACCATCTTTAATTAATTTAACTTTTTAAATTAATTAAATTCCATATTTAGCATGTGTACTTTAAATCATGTAATTCAAATCCTTAATGAACCTATTTTAAATCAAATCGATCATAATTAATACAGATTCATTAATCAGCTTGGCAACCAACAATTCTTCGAATAAATTAGTTTTTTTTTTTTTTAAACATATCACACAGACCCATTAATCCCAAAAATAAGAATTTGTAAAAATAATAACCTAGGGCCCCAAACAGTGCCCAATTCGGTAGACTGGTAGCCCAACTGGTCTGCTGATTGGCCAACTGGTTGACCGATAGACCATACCGGTCGGCCGATAGCTTCATTTCTATCGGCCGAGTCCTGTAAAAGAATAAAAATACTTTGACGCAAAATTTGATATCTCATGAAATTGATCTTCGATGGGGCTAATTTTTAATTTTTATTTTTTTATATATATATTCAGCTCCATATGTAAATAAATAATTTTAAAAATTTTCTTACAAATATCTTGAGTATTTTATTTTTCAAAAATAACATAAGATTGTTGGAGTAGATTTTTAGATTGCCTATTTCTCTCTGGTTATGAAGGTTTGTTGTACAAATCTTATATTTTTGGAATTCTTATTTCATAAACTTTCCGTACATATATTATTTATAATTTTTAAATGTACGGTCTGTGAGATATGAAATTTTGAAATTTGAAAGAATTAAGATTTAAATAAAGAGCATTTTGGTGCAAACATCAACTCTTTTACCTCCTTCATATAGTTGAGGGGGTTCTTTGGTAAAAAATTTGATAAGAGGGATTTATTGGTAAAAGGTACAAATTGAGGGGGGTTCTTTGGTAAAAAAAATAGACAAGAAGGATTTATTAAAAAAAGTTACAAGTCGAAGGGGTTCTTTTATATTTTGCCCTCTTTTTTTTTTTTTTTCCCTTGTTATTATTGTTCAATTATTACCGCATGCTATATAAGTTTGCTTGGCTCAAGTGTGGCTTTTCAAGTTTTGGGCCTTAGTAATATTATTTTTCATGAAGCCCAAGTAAAATTGGGCCAAATCAGAGGCCGTAGGCGACCGCTTTGGTCGCCTGCCCAGGGCCGGCCCTGATTCTTATCTTCCTCAATTTTTATTTTATTTATTTTATTTATTTATTTATTTTTTTTTTTTCTGATCATTGTAAACTGGTAACGTGTGTTAAACAATGTGATAGAATGTAATTCTGCCACTTCTCTTATCTCACCTTTTTTCTTATTCTTGTTAAAATGATCCTTCATGGAGACTCATGATTTTATAAGTACAAATTTAGATGAGGAAACATAAATAGATATTAGAAGATAAGGAAAAATAAATAGATATTAGTTATGATTTCTCGAGTCGGTCCCATTGAGTCGTATGATTAGGCCTAATAAGAAGTTACAGCCCTAGACTGTCAGGCATCAAACTGTATTGAGCCTTTTTTTTTATCCCCTGTTTTCTTATTGCAACTTTTTTACTTCGAATTGCATATTTGAAATGATTTTTAATTTTTTAAAATTTTAGATTAATGATGAAGTAGAACTTTGGCTCTTTATAAGAGACGAGAACGATTGATCAATTGAAATCCCATACGAGGAAATAACAAGAAAATTGAATGCTAGCGAGGTTAAAGTGGTCTCTCTATAGCATTCTCTTCAATTACATCAGTTCCGAAACAACATTTTATGCAACTATAACAAGTTAGTTAGTTATATTAAAAAAAAAAAAATCAGGGGCAACTTGATAGTATTTGAGGCCTAAAGCAACATTTCAAAATTAGGCCTTCTAATGTTTAATATATGAATATAATATTTATAATTTTTATTCAAGGAAACTTAAAGCATTATTTGGATTTTTAATTTTAGAAATAGTAATTTAATTTTGTAAGCAATTAATGTGTGAGGTTCTAAAAGAAATATAATGATAATTATTGGCAGGTAATAGAGATAGTTTTTTGTTTTGTAGGCAATTGATATGTGAGAGAGTTCAAAATAAATATAATGTTCGAATAATTATTTAAAATGATATTATTTTGTGACCGCGTGAGAGTTCAAAAGAAATAGTATAATGTTGAATAGTTATTGATATGCAAGATAATTAAAAAAATTACTCCGTAAAACTATTCCAATTTTAAAGAAACCTTATATTTATTTGGCAATTAATACAATGAATGAAACATAATTAATACATCAACAAAAATTTGGGCCTCATATTTTTTGATTGGAGCGCAACTTGTTTTTGTATTCATCACTATAATATAAATTGCATTATTTGGTAATTAATATATCAAAGGAAATATAATTAATACGGTAAGAAAAATATGGGGCCTCTTTTTCCAATTGGGGCCCAAGGCAGCTGCCTTATTGGCCTTATATTGAGCTGGCGTGCAAAAAAAAAAACCATCTCTATCTCGCATCTATTGCAGAAATGGAAAGCCCATTTACAGAATACTTTTCAGGCTTACTTCTGTGTGAATCTTCCTCAACCACTCTGCTTCCGCTTACAAATGCTGGTTTCTTTGGCACTGGCAAAGCCATGCTGTCATTTGTTAACATGGAAACAACTTTTGGCATAGTTGGCCTATCGACTGCACGATCTTCTACACATAAAAGACCGACATGAATGCATCTTAGAAACTGTTGTTCAATACATGAACTCCCCAGTGTTGGATCCACAAGCTCTAGAGTAGCATTTTTGTTCCATAATTTCCATGCCTGTGATTGTACAATTATCAGTTAAAATGTTGGAAACAAACACATTAGTATTTAGTAGTGAAAAAAATAAAATCAAGACCACCATTTCGTATACTTACAAATCCTACTAGGTTAAGCGGACCTTCAATATCATAAAAGCTGTTGTTCTTTCGACCACTCACAATTTCAAGCATTAGTACTCCAAAACTGTAGACATCAGATTTAACAGAAAAAACTCCCTCCATGCACTCAGGAGCCATGTAACCACTACCAACAAGGCAACAATATAGATAATAGTGTTTAAGTATGCCATAAATTATAAGTTTAAGAGAAGTAAACTTCACACCCATCAAAACATATATAAATAAACTTATTTGATACTTACTACGTCCCACCAATTCTATTTGTGTTAGCTTCCGATACATTCTGCTTGCAAATTCTAGCCATACCAAAATCAGAAATTTTGGGGATCATGTTCTCATCAAGTAATATGTTACTAGCTTTCAAATCTCTATGTATTATCTTCAATCTTGAATACTTGTGAAGGTAAAGTAGTCCTTGAGCGATTCCTTCAATAATGTTGAGGCGTCTTTCCCATGTTAATTGCTCATTCTTACTTGTATCTGTCTCGAAATGAAGTGCAAAATATGGTACCGTACGTGTTTAAATTTTTTGAACAAAGATAAAATTTCATTGACCAATTACACTTGAAAATGATGCAAATGATGTTGTAGAGAAACAAAATGGATTTCTTACCAAAGAGAAGGGAGTCCAAACTTTTGTTAGGCATGTATTCATATACCAACATCTTCTCATCTCCTTGAATGCAACAGCCTAGAAGCCTCACCAGATTCATGTGTTGGAGTTTGGCTATAAGTATGAGCTCATTCTTGAACTCCAGCAATCCTTGTCCCGATCTTCTCGATATTCTTGAAAGTCGCTTTACAGCTATTTCATGTCCCTCACGCAATTTTCCCTGAAATATATAAAAGTTCATTACCTAGTAATGCATCTTTTCTAGGTTAAGAAACAGACTAATGCTATAAAAATAAAAAACTTAAACCCCATACAAACCAAGATGTCATGTTTTCTCCTATTTGTGTGTATGTATGTATGTGTGTATAGGAAAACAAATGACAATTGAAATCCATTGATTGCAAAACAGAAATATTCGATTGTGCAAGGAATTTATACAAGGGCAACGATTTCTTTTCTGGATTTTACCTTGTAAACTGGTCCAAAACCACCCTCTCCAAGTTTACATTCTGATGAGAAGGAACTTGTAGCATCCATCATACATGCAAAGCTAAATACCTTGAGCTCGTGACCCTTATTCCCGTCAAGTTCAGGTTCATCTCCATTTGATGTCATAAGTTCAAGTAAAACTTTCTCCTCTTTATTCTCTATTTTGATAAAATACAAAACTAAACTTGTCATTCCATAAAAATAATAGAGATTAAGGTGAAACATTACAATGTGACAAACAAATCTATTATTTGTTAGGGATGTACCTCGTCCTCGTCGTTTACTTTTTCTTCTTAAAAAGCACAAGAGGCCGAAAAGAAGCATTAGTAATGCAACTACTACAGCAATGACAATCCATATCCATTTCTTCTCTCCTGCATCTAATTATTGCAATAATTGTAAAGTAGAATATTCCAAAATACTTCTTTTCATTTTCTGAAGATAAAACAATGATTTCTGACTAGTGATAAATGTTCAAATTGCACATCTTTTGAATTAATATATATATATATATATATATAGAAACATAATCTTTACTGGGCTACACTAGTTAAGGTTAACTGAAATTACAAATAGACAAAAAAATGAATCGAAATTATGTGTGCATGATGGATAAGACATAAACAAAAAATGAAATATATATATATATATATATATATATATATATATATATATATATTTTACGAAATAATATACCCGTAGAACTGATATGACGTGAGTTATAAAAGGTAATTATAACGGTAGTTGAGATGGTCTAGGATTCCTTTTTGAAATTTAAATTTTAAAAACTCTATTATCTCTACTATAAGGTTCCAATACTAATCACTAAATAATAAATAATATAATATAATAAACAAAAGTTAAGGGTTTTACATTGCGTGTATGTATGTGAAACTAACACTAAAAGTAATAACCTTTAATTTTAAAGCTGTTTCATTTTGTTCCCGATGTTACTTAGAACGAGTGGCTAATGTTATTTGAGTACTATTTGAGAAAACTTACTCGAGTTGGAAATAAGAACATATTGACGGACTTTATCACCTATGTAATCTTGATGAAACACCAAATTTCCTTTCCAAAATACGCATCCTGTCCCATAATCATTAAAACCAACACAATCACAATCTATCCAACATATGTCCCTACAATCACTGAGACCAAGACTCTCATTTTTGTCAGGTGATGCTTCACTAGGAATGAAGTACCCAGATCGTAGATCGAACTTCTGGTGGCGATTCCTGCACTTGGGCTGCTCCCATAGCTCACACCCACTGTAGGCTAATTCTGATCCCCGCGTATTGTAACCATAACAAAGATCGACTCGAGCAATCCCATGCCTATCTTGATAACCAGATATGAAACCATTGTGCTCTAGCACCCATCCTGATATACTTTTTCGATCCTCTGGTGTAACTACAGGATCTATTATAAGCGAATAAGTAAAATACTCCTCTTCCGGATCAGTAACATTGATGAAATTATAATTCCAGTTGATAGTATCAGGTTTAGGCAAGAATTCAAATGCCTTATCCTTCAACACCCCACTAGTCCAATAAATCATCCCTCGTCGCCTAACAACCAATCGGCGTCCACTAGGATCCCATTCAAGAGTGAAAGCCCCTAGAGCTGGTTCATCCTCAGCAAACCAAGATGTAAGAGACCAGATCCGTCCAGTCCTGTGGTTGACACCTAATTTCATCTCCGGTAGAAGCGTGTGGGTGGGATAGTCAAAGCTCTGCCAGAGTACCCGCTGCTTTGTTGATCCGTTGGAATTTGCCTCTCTCACTACAAAGTTTCCTGAATCCAACAAAGTTGCAGTTATGTTAATGGTGCCGGCTTTACTCGCATATAGCTCAGCAGAGCTCCCTCCATTGTATGTAATAATCAGTTTCCCGGCTTTGTCTATACTGAGGACACCAGAATTGTTATATATAGGTGAGTTTCTGTTGGCAACCCATACTGCCCGTTGATCAGCGGAATTTGTATACCATATTCCTAAGTAAGTATTATTGTTGTCTGAGTATTTCGAAGGCTTAAAGAATCCTAAGGTGAAGTTTTTCCTTGAGGAAACTAGGAAAGTGGAAGAGGAGGAGTTGAGCATATCACCTTGTTGGAGTGTGTGTGATGATGCATCAAGAAAGGCCAACAAGGATGACAAAATGTGAGAGAAAATTATGCAAGTGAAAATTTTCTTAGATCTAGCCATGATGAACAACAAGTGTAGAACAATGATTTAAGCAGGCTAAATGGGTTTTGACATATAAAACTCTAATCTCTGTTGACTTCAAAATTCACCTTCTACAGCTTGGCCCGCAGCAGTACCTTGACCAACTCAAGGTCCAATCTGATTACCTGAAAAATACCCACCACGTCATTTCCATGGTGCTACTCTCCATATAGTCTTCTTGGGTCCCACTTACTTTTTTAATGCTGCAAAATTTGTACTCCACTAAATTGCCTCTGCCACGTCTCATTAAATTATTAAAGTACGTGGGATCTAAGAACCAACCTGGTCCACCACTATATCTAAATGCTTTCAATCAAGGAAAATATATCATTAATTTTAGGGGAAAGACAATTATAACTAATTGTAATATAATTTTATTCAAATATTAGTCATAGCATAAATAACTTGAAAAAATCCAAAAAATGAAAAGAAAAATATAATTTAAATAAATAAACAAAAAACTGATATCAGAAATATATATATATATATACACACACATAGAGAAGAATGTTATAAACGTCCTTCAACCATCATAATTTTGCCGTGTTACATTATAATGGTACAAAGTCTTTGCATTCACACCTACAACACATATCACTCATATGAGATATGTGGTTTGACAATTCTTGTCCTCTTCGCACGATATTTTTATAAGTGGATCCCATCTTATATATAGGACTCTCACTGGGATGGGATGGACTGGTATAACATTAAGAATATGTCTAGTTAAAATTTGTTAAGAAAAATTTAATAGAATAAAAATTTAACAAAGTAAAAAGAGTACATTATTCTTATGTATCTGAAAATGACATTTTATAGATTAATACTGTATAAATAAATAAATAATAAAAAAAATCTTATCAAGAAAACTCAATGGGAAAAAACCTTAACGAAAGAAAACAAGTACGGTATGCCAATAGCTTTTTAATTGAATTTCTCCCCCTCATTCAGCATTAAGGATCACTGAGTCTACGCATTCCAATATTAGAATGTTGTGGTTGGAAACTCTTTGATGAATTAATTTGCTAAATTATCACTCGAACGTATTTGCTGAATGTCAATATCACGGCTTTTGGAGGTCGTGTGTGTGAAAATAATTTTTGTGAAATGTGCCTGATTCTGTCCCTTTTATGTAGCCTCATCTTATCTGTGTAATACATGCTACATTATCTGCATATAATGTTGTTGGGCAATCCACATGATTCACAAATTTGTTGTACAATAGATCTTAACCAAACACACTCTTGGTTTGATTCATGAATTGCGATGATCTTAAAGTGATGTGAAGCAATTGCAATCATTGTATGTATCTGCATATTGGATCAATTGGGGTTTTGATTTTCTTGAATAAAACAACCTCATACATATTAGTGGTTTCACGAAGGTAACACAAAATGCGTTTGACCCCATTCCAATATCTTCGAGTTGGTGCAAACCTACACCCTGCTAGTAAGTTGATTGCAAATACTATATTAGGTTTAGTGCAATTTGTAAGATACATAAGGGCACTGAATGCACTAAGATATGATACTTCAGGACTAAGAAATTTTCTGTATTCTTTTGGAGAATGAAAATGATCTTTCTTAGCATCAAGTGACTGGTCAATCATTGGGGAGCTCAATGGGTGAGCTTTATCCATATAAAAACGCTTCATAACTTTTTCAGTGTAGGTTGACTAGTGGATAAGAATTCCACTTGGTAAATGCTTGATCTGTAGGCTGAGGCAAAATTTTATTTTACCAAGATCTTTTATTTCAAATTCTTTCTTTAAATAATCAGCAGTCGTGGTGAGTTCTTCAGGAGTTCTCACAAGATTTAGATTATCAACATATACAACTATAATGGCAAATTCATATTCTGATTTCTTGATGAAAATGCATAGACAAATTGGATTATTCACATATCCTTATTTCAATAAATACTCACTGATAAGATTGTACCACATGCGTCTAAATTGCTTCAATTCATACAAGGATCGTTGTAGCTTAACTGAATACATGCTACATAGTTTTAAGCTCTTTATTTCAGGCATTTAAATCATTTAGGGATTTTCATATATATGTCACTATCTAGTGATCGATATAAATATTTCGTAACTATGTGTAATGTCCTGGATTTTTTTGAATTTTTTGGTATTTTCTTTTATTTACTTTCTGTATCTCGTTTTGCATTCCACGTGGGTCCCGAGGGTTGTTCGGGACATTTTTATGAGTTCGGGAGTTCTGGGAATGCATTTTAATTATCTTGAGCATGTTAAGATTTACGGGATCAATTTTTAAAATTTTCAGAGTCGGGACCGACTTTATGGTAGGGAATCTTTCCCGGCTTTTCATTAATATTTAATATTTCATTTGGCATAGTGTATATATATATATATGTGTGTGTATATATATCTATATATATATGGTAAGATATTTTGGGGGCAATGTTGTCATTAGTGGGAGTATAAGAGGGTATTCTGGGGAGTTCGGTGTAAGGAGTGGGAACCATCACTTGACACGTGGCCAAAGAAGGACCACTCATGCAATTGAAGACTTGGCAAACCACCCCCATCCTTCTTCATTTTTGGCCATTCCCTCTCTCTCTCTCTAGCTTTCTTTTTTTCTCTCTCCATATTTATATACATCACGCTTTAAGCTCATTTTTGGGAGCTTTAAGGTAAGATTTGAGAGAACGAAAACTTGCTTTACTTTTCAAGGATTACATTTTGACCCCACTCCTGAGGCCATTTGGGAGATTTCGAATTTGACCTAACTTAAGGGCTGGTTTGGTTGTCTCAGTTGAGGTAGGGATGCTTAAGACCTTAAACTTTGTATTTCATTGAGTAATCTTCATTTGATTTTTCATTAGATCTATATTGAATGCAAGTTTGTGAATAAATTTATAGTTGAATGGTGATGTGGTGAAAGCATGCTTATAAATGATTTAAATAGTTTCATGGTATGCTAGTGAAATTCATGTTATTGCCTAAGTGTAAAAATGTTTAGTTACAAATGCTAGCATGGTTGTGACAAATGAATTTCAATGATGAACATCCTTATATTTGATTCTTGGTATATGTCATGCTATGCTCGTGATGTTATAGAAACGAGATGAAGTCAAGTAAATGCATGGTTAATATACATGGCATAACATAGTGGAAAGGTTGAATGGGAATGTCAAATGAGTCAAAGTAGAAAGGGTGTAGAAAGGGTTATGACATGGATTTTATAAAAGAACCGAATTTCGCAAGTCCGGTGCTAATTCGATCTAGAGGGAGTGTTTGCTGATTTTTGGACGTGTAACATTGAATTAACTAAGCCCCAAATGGTTATTGAATTTGATATCAGGGATAGTTAATTTATCTCGTCTTGGTAAAGTCAGTTAGCGGCTTTTGGTATGAGTCGTATCGGTTTAGGTTCGGAGTTGGGATGGCATTGCATTTCATGGCTTCATTCTTGATCTAAATTTCGAAATTGTGAAATGAATGATATTATTGCAAAGTGTGTTGTTGTGAGTGCTTATAATCCTTAAGCATGGTTGTTGTGTTGTGGTTAATTATAAATAACCACTCGCAATAGTACGAATCTTTGTAGGATAGCACTATAGATAGGGTGTTGAACCCACAAAGTTATTATGTTCTGCTTTTAACTAATCTTTATTGGTTTATAGTTAACTGATTGAATTGATTGATTGGTTGTCACAATTATAAATTAAAATTAAACTAAAGTAATCAGAGTGAGAGGTCTTAGGGCTTTGACTTCACCACAACCTTCGTACTATGGTTAATTGTTTCAACTCTGGGGATTTAATCAAATTATATTTCAGATGAATTGAACTTAATAACATTTGTTCAATTCGGGTTTTAAAGAAAGATTTTTATAAATTGCAGTTAACTATAACCCATCTGTGGTTAGCATGGACTATCCACCTACTTACTTTAACTAATTTGTAAACAATACATTTTTCCTAAGTATAGACTATGAAAATATTCTTTTATAAAAAACGTTAGAACACCATTACATGACCTCCATTCTTATGTCCGGCAGGGCTCCGCCAGATACCGTCCAATAAGAATGGGTTGAGAATAGAAAACGAATAATTATATTTAAGGCAAGGTAATAATAATTTGAAAACTATTTAAAACATTGAATCTAATTGAGTTGTCTCAATTGCTCATAGTCATGTAATCATAAACATAATATACATATAAAATATCCTAGAGTTAAAACAATCAAACCATAATACTAGATTGGGTTACATCAGTGCCTTAAGAAAAGAATTAGCTACTTATGATGATGCCAAATATTATCTGTGTTGTAGTCGTCTTCATCATCACATACGACACTTCTCTTCTCAAGATCTTCACCTTCTAAGGTTATGGAAACCCTAAAAGCGGCCATCACAGTATCAGCTTTCTGAATAACACGAGAAAAAAAGGACTTCTTTTATCAAGGCTTGTGCCTTCTTTTATAGAAGAAAGTAAAGGTCTGGTGGGTTTCTAGGTCTTCTGGCTCATATGGAATGAGATACGACTTTAAAAAGAATAATCTCGTAACTTAAATATGATCTGTCATGGAAGGCTCGAGCTTTAGGAAGTAGAGCTCGAGCTTTGAGGTTCGGGCTCGAGCTTTGGGAACAAGGGTCGAGCTTCATTAAGTTATTGCTCGAGCTTCATGGAATGGTGTTCGATCTTCACTTTTACACTTAGCCAATTTTCTTCAACTATTTTCCGAAACGTCTTTTCCTTCAACACTTAGAATATTTTGGGATTTATCTCTTTTAACATTGCTCAATCCAAGCTTTATGGGCTCGACCTCTATGTACCAAGCTCAAGCTTTGGGTACTCAAGGCTCGAGCTTTGAATGATGGTGCTCGATCCTTGAGGTCTGGCACGAGGCGCTGGGAGCTTGGTTCTTTCATTAAATCAGCTTTTCAAATTCCGATGCCTTGTGCTGGAGCTTAAGGGCTAAGACTCGAGCAACTTGAGGTTAGGCTCGA